CTACTATAATTATAATTTACCAAACACTCAGTTACTTTTTGTAACAGCTGCTTCTTATTTTAGCACAGTAAAAGTAATTTTTTCAAAATCTACAGTATTACTAAACTAAGGGCCCGTTTAGTTTACTGACTCGAGTTGATATGTGAGTTTATGTAAGAGCTTTTTTACTGTAACAAAAAAGTTAAATATGACTATTTATGATAATTTTTTACTGTAATAAAACTTAAATTTTAAACTCAAATTGATGAAATAAATGAGATCTAAACCACTAAACGATTGTTTTGAGTTCCTAGGGATCTAAACCACTTAACGATTGTTTTGAGTTCCTAGGTGTGTAGGATACCAAATTGAAATTATCCATAATGAAAATGCCTAAAATAATCTCTCGCCCGTTTCAAAAAATAATTTCTCTCGCAGCGAGACTTCCTTCACTTACAATCTCTCTCGCCTAAAATAATCTCTCTCTAAGCCTACGAAATGGTAGCATTAGCTTTCTCTTTTCCATTGAGCTTCTCAGTTGCTTCTCGCAACAGAACCTCCTCACTTCTTCTGAATTCTCCCAGGTAAAAATGACCCATTTCCATATTCACACCCACATAATTCACTTTCGAATTTGTGTCTATTTTTCCTTTGTAATATCCTTGTATATATATATTAACAAGTTTCGGCCATTAAACAACCTTTTGTGTTATTCTGCAGAAACCCAACGAGCTCCACAGTCTCCGCTTTGTCCACTCCGTATGGCCATTTTTCACCAGCTGGTATTTTGTTTTTATTTTTTTATTTTTTTGTGCTCCTTTTAGAGTACCGAAGAATTTCATCTTTCTTTCGATGAAATTTGTAAACTTTTTTGTTCTTTTATGAGTAATTCTTCCTTAATATTTCTTATTTCAATTTCAATTTAATTTTGTTAAGTTAATGGATATGTAGTTATAACTTATAACCCACATGGGTTGAGATGTTTTTGCTCTGAGAATGAAGCTGAAATACTGTAGAAAATCAGTTTTAATTTCATGAAATTTGTATACCCAATTCTTTTTTCTTTCAGCAATTGCTCTTGGAATGGGTGGAATTTGTCGGAGTCTGATGCTCCTAATTTTAGTTTAATTCACGATTATGTTACGGTCTTGGAGATATGTTTATAAGCCAAAAGTGAGATATTTTGATTTGAGAATAAAGACAATGTTGGCTTATGGGGTAGCGGTTTTCTATGCTGTAAAACTAGAAAGTGGCTGATTTTTTTTTTTATTTATTTATTTTTTTTTCGTATTTCTTTTTGGGTGAATGTTGCAGGGTTATCGAGTAAGACATCTGTATCTCCTCTAAAGCTTGATGAGACGGATTTTCTTGATAGCAGTACAAGGTGTTTTTACTTGTGTTTTTTTGCTTAATATCATGCTGTTGACTTCTTTTGGTGTTGCATTGGTTTTAAACTGATACTTTCTTGGGGAGTGTGTTTCTCTTGAGGTGTATTATCTAGTAGTAGAGAGTTACTTTAGCAACCCTCTATTTTATATCTATGTGACATAAAAACTTTAAAAAGTTATATATATTATCGAAACACGATTTATAATGTAATTATTACTGATATCCCTTTTGATTTTCTTGATATTGCTATATGAAAGAAAGAAAAACTTGCAAATGTTAAAGAACTGAGTCGGTAGCGATGCAGTTACCTAGTTTTATTGCTGCTTCTAAAGTTTCAAATGTGCTCCATTGTGTCTGCTTTTCTATATGACTTTTTAGTTGATTTTAGTTATTAACGCGGGATATATGTTATAGTTATGGTGCTATAGAAGCCAAAAAAGGAAATCCTCCCATTATGCCTGCAGTGATGACCCCAGTTGGACCTTTAGATCTCTCGACTGTATTACTAAGGAACCGGATAATCTTCATAGGGCAGCCCGTGAACTCGCAGGTGGCCCAACGAGTCATATCGCAGCTTGTGACACTGGCAACTATTGATGAGGATGCCGATATTCTGGTGTGTTTATATTATTGTTTTCTATTTGGCTTTATCCTATTTCCATTATCACATATATTCTCTGGTAGTTGCTTTACAGAATAAATTGTCTTGTGCCTGCAGGTGTATTTGAATTGCCCTGGTGGAAGTACATACTCTGTCTTGGCAATTTATGATTGCATGTCTTGGGTAAGATGATGTAATGTTTCAGTTTTCAAGAGTTTCTTTCTATTTTTTTCCTTTCTAGATGAGTTAAAGAGTTGCCTCTTTTCTTTCCTCTTTCATTCCATTCTGTTTTGCCCTGTTGAAGTTCTCGAAACATCTTAAAAGAATGAGGGCACAAGTTTGAATCATAGTACGGCAGTGTGTTATATCTTTGAAATGTATACATACTTATGCCTTGTAAATTATGGCCTCCAATGACTTGAAATGAAGAGTATTTATCAGACTCTTTGAAAATAATTACTTTGACATCATGGTTCGAATTTATGTTTTTAGATCCAAATACATTAATTTCATCAACTCCTCTTTTAGTTTTCGTTGGGGATCATTTCATTTTTAGTCTGTAGCACATATATTTATGATTTATATCCTTAAATATGGAAAAAAAAAATGATCAGTATCATTGCAGTGTGAGCTTTCATTTTTCTTCCACCCCCTATCCGTGGCATCATGTCGGCACTCAAGAATTAGTATTAATCTCTGTTATGACTTCTGATAAAGTAAGCACACTGGAACTTTTGATGTGTGGGTCATTGAACTTTGAACAATGCTTGAATATTCTCTGGTTTCGATGTGTGGATCATTGAACTATGAACAATGATTAAACTAATCACACTGCAACTTTTGATGTGTGGGTCTTGAAGAATGATTTATTTTCTGATAAACTAATCTCTCGCTTATTCTCTTGAAGGATGATCCTTGTCCATTTTTCCAGAGGGAACAACTGTTTGTCATGACACTTATCTTATGTTTGCATTACATGATTTCTTTTGTTATCAGATAAAGCCTAAGGTTGGCACAGTATGTTTTGGGGTAGCTGCAAGCCAAGGAGCTCTTCTTCTTGCTGGTGGAGAAAAGGGAATGCGATATTCGATGCCAAATGCACGTATTATGATACATCAACCACAGAGTGGATGTGGGGTATGAACCGACTTTTTTTGATTTTGATATCAATAAAGTTCCGAGTTTCTTATCAAAAAAAAAATCATATAGATGCTTAGGAAAAAAATATTACAAAACAATCTTGTCTCACCTTCCTTTACCGTTGCAGGCCATAGAAATAGTGGTGATACTTGGTAAACAAGACAAAGTTTTGATATCGATGTGTTTGTTATTCCTTTTAGCGTCATCTTATTAAAGCCTAAATAAATAAGGCCAGAAAGAAAGATAATGTATAATGTGGCTTCAGCACAGACTTATTTAGATAGCAGGGGCGTGATTATACATTCTATAATGTTATTTTTATTTTTTTGGTTCCGCATGCATGTACTAGTATTAAACCAACTTGTAATTTGTTGTTAAAAGATTATTGTCTCCACCTTATTCTCTTTGTAGTTGTGGGTGGGAGCTGGGGTGAGAGAAGAAGGTTCAACTATTTTCCTTGTCCATTTTCTTCATCTTTTTCCTTTCTTTTCTTTCCTTCTTCTTTTTTCTTTTTCTTTTTTTTTTTTTTTTCTCTTTCCTTCTTTTTATCTTTTTTTTTCTCTCTGTTTTTTTTTCCCTCTTTCCTTCTTTTTATTTTTTGAAAGGATCCTTGTCCATTTTCTGGTATGCCCTCAGCATAACTTAGTCACATTTAATCAAACAGGTAGCAGAGTTGATCCTTTTAGCTGTAAATAAATTATGAACGTCCGCGTATCTATAACTTAATGCAGTTCTTCAATCCACTAACCCCGCAAACAAGTAAAATGAGACTTCCCACATGTTCAGCATATTTTCTTTGACCTTCTACTTTATTCCATCCCTTCCTTTATGAGCTTGAATGACCAAACTGGTTCTGCAGTGGTCCAAATTGTGATGATATGTGCAGGGTAACAAGTTTGAAAAAGTTATTTGTTAAAAAAAAGAAAGTTGTCAAAATAGTAATATGTGATTCATTTATCCAAAATGCAGAGGTTAATTGTGCATTATCTGTTTGTAGGGTCACGTGGAAGATGTGAGGCGCCAAGTAAATGAAGCTGTTCAATCTCGCCATGTCAGTCTCTTTTTCTCCACTTACATTCATGCATTACTTGATTGTTCGACGATTATAATTGCATGTAATTGAGTTGGATTGCTTTAAGAAAAGAAGATGAATGAATCTATAGTATTTTTCCTAAACGAGTCAAAGTTTGGAAAGCAAACTCCTTTTCCATGAATAGCACTATGGTTGATTGCTACCGGTTGCGTAGCGAAACTGAAATAGTGAAATTAGAGAGAGCCTTGCACCAGTCTGCACTGCCACAAATAGAACTCACTAATGTATAGTTAGGGATCCCTGTGTGTGGAAATCCATGATTTACAACCTGATTTCCAGGAATTAGTTGTAATCTGATTTCTAGAGATTAGCTGTTAATAATTAGCTTAATTTGTTACCTAGAATAAAGGGATACCGGTTTTATATCACCGATTTCCTGTTTTTCTGTTTTTTTCCTATTTTAGTTGCTTATTCTCAGGAAGTGATCCTTTCCTTCCTTGCTATTTAAGTCTATACAATTCAGTCAGAATGATGAATGAGAATTATCGTATTCTATTCTCAAAAACTCACAATGTGATATTAGATTTTTTTTTAGTATTGTCAAGAATTCATTACAAAATTTCTACAGCTAGTATTTTCAGGGTGTCTTTGATATTTTGCATTTTATATGATTTTAAGGATCACCTTTTGTAGGCTGCAGGATGGGGATTCCTTTTTCTGTTTTCTTAAATTAGTTTGTCATCACTTGTTTAAATTTTATGCTAAAACTATTTGGTCCTAAATGCAGAAAGTTGACAAAATGTATGCTGCTTTTACGGGCCAACCTATAGAGAAAGTGCAACAATACACTGAGAGGGATCGTTTCTTATCTGTTTCTGAGGTAACTTTACTTGGTGACATCTTCATTTTTGTTCCTTTTAATATGTCGTTAAAGCTACATTGCCCATAATATAAATGCTTGCTAAAAATCCTCAAATCAACTTTCTGTTTACTTTTTGAACGATTAGCAGATTTACAAGAGAGTCAGAAATGAAAAAGGAAAAACAGATTGTGTCAGACACATTATAAATAAATATTCAGCGGAGCTTGTTACTCCGTGTGTGCCATAAAATGTCTTGCGCATTTTAAGTTTTGTAATCCGTCTTTGATTGTTGGATTTCTGTAGCCAATTAGATGGTTTAGAATTTTTTTTTTCCCCAAACCTTTTGCGCAATCAGTCACTTGAGTACATCACTTAATTTTCTTCTCAAACAATTAACCATCACATACTTCTTTCTTCCTTTGTTGCAGGCCATGGAATTTGGACTTATTGATGGTGTGTTGGAAACAGAATACTAGGTGGTTTTCTTAACATTCCGTGTCTTCAAAAAATGACTCTTTATTGTCAACTTAATATCTTGGGGTTGGCTCCAATGATCAAGTGTAAAGAGTCTTTGAACTAAATTTTCAGCGCTTCCCATTCCTTAAATGCCATTACATGAAATTTTGATTTTTTTTATTCCCATTTCATTTGTTTTTTTTTTTTTTTTCCCTTTTATTTTTTTTTTTTTTTTTCCCTTTTATTTTTTTTTTTTTTTTTCCCTTTTATTTTTTTTTTTTTTTTTCCCTTTTATTTTTTTTTTTTTTTTTCTTTTTACTTTTGCTCTAATGGATTCTTATACACGAGCTTTATCCATCTGACCCTGAAGGATCTCCAGCAAAGTAAGAACCCATTAATCAGTTTGATTTTAGTACTATTTTGAGAACTCTTGGTCCTGCCCTTCTCTTCCTTTTTGTTATGCACTCGTTACTGGTCACTCATGAGTGATGCTAACATTTCTCTCTCACTCATTTTTAGAATCTTTGCCTGCCTTGAATTTTTATAAAACTAAATCACCGGATAACTTGGCAGCTTGGCCGCTTGGCGGTTGGTTCCAAGGACAAGTGTGTTGGTCGACAATTTTAGTGATTTGTTGCAGCGCACGGTTTTGATTCACTACTCAGTCAACCGAGCCAACATATCGGTTCTAGCAAATGTTGGAAGCAACCAATGAATCGTTACATCAAGTAATTGTGCCGCTGTGGGCTTGCTGTGATCTTCTTTCATTGGTTACGAATTGTCACTTCATCCTAGGAATTGACCTTCATACTTTCATTTAGTATGAGGATTCGTACCATAATTCGAATTATAGTTCGTAACTCGTTACATTATTTTCTTTCATAAAAAATACACGTAAATCGAGAATGATTCTGAATTATAGTTCTAAATTCGTGAACTAAACGCCCACGCTCGACTGATAGCTCTTTAATCTTCCAACAACAAGAGTCGAGACATTACACCTCCTAGTCGACTTCTTTGGTGCCAATCGATATATCGGTTAAATTTAACAACCCTTCTTTGATCAACTTTTGAATCGGGAAATACGGTGCCAATAAATAATAAAAGACCTTTACTGCTAATAAAATAGTTCAGGCCACCATAAGACACAAATTTAAGGAGTATTATCATTGCCAATTACTCGATTACAACTGGTATCTTTCTAGTTTATGTATCCTTAAAAAAGAAGCCCCAAAAACATTCAACAGGTCCTGCTGTGGTTTCATAACAAGGTAATACTTGTACGGGTGTTTATATGTGTCTGTAAGTGTATACTGTATGAATGTATATATGTTGAGATTCTATTTTTATACATATACTATAATTCAGTGTACTACATAACTCCTACATTAAGAGAGAGAGAGAGAGGGGGAATAAAAATTCCGAATCTTCAAAATAAGCAATCTCCACTGAAGTGCTTTAAAACTCTCCAATAAACCTGTGGTATGCATAGGCATGAATCTTTGCTGTTACAATTTAAAAATAAAACGGCTATCTAAACTACATAAAAGCAGTTCTTAACATTCATTGAAAGGAACACCATCCAATGTCTTTAAACTTCCAACAGCTAAATATCTATCTAGTTAGCACCAAGATCACATCGAGCTCTTGTAAATGTCTTTTTCTACTAAACTTCTGACTAGACAATTCGATCAATAGATGAAGGAAACTAGAAGCCTTTCATATATCAAGGTGGTTGTTTCAATACCCGGTCTCCGTTCCTCTCCATCTACGTGGAAACATTGACCTTACCATATGATTCAAATCAAACGACACTTGTAAAATGGACGTAAAGTCGCATCCTAGATAATCGTCGCACGGTTCCAGCACCATCCAAGACGAACCGTTTGATTTAAATCTTTTTACTGCCATGATCAATGGCCCCTATGGGCGCTGCAGTGAAAGCGCCCCACCCTAGAATCTCCCCACTGTAAAAAGCCCGGTTAAATGCAAATGGAAAGGATACCATTTTCCTCGTTCCCATATCTCCCGTTTTTCCAATTTTGCCATACAAACTCCAAGCCTCAAAACAAATTGTTTATATATACAAGAACATCAAGCAGTGGCAATTATCTACAAGGCACTAAAGTCCTATTCTACATTGGCAGACTAGAATGCTGACCTCATAGTTTTGAGATCAAAATGAAGTGTTATCTGTATTTAATGCCTTGATCAAATGCCTCAAATTAACTCAGGGAAGGGCCTTTGGCAAACATGGCCTCTTACCTCTTATGATCCCTCTGGGCAATATGCAAAAAACTCACTGATTTTTTTTTTAATTACCTGAGCATGTCTCCGGTGTGTAATTGTGGTCCGCTTAAAGCAGGAGATATGCTGAAAGTACTAAAGTCACTGTAGAACGAAGGATGCCCGAGAGGCATTGGCCTATCTGGAATTGGAGGAACCTCAATATCTCCTTCCATCATCTTCAGTGCTTCTAAAATAGTAGGCCTTAAAGCCACCATTACATGAGCACACAAAATCCCAACCATCACAAATCTCTCCATAATGCTCCTAGGGTTGGAGTTTACTGAATCCCCATCTTTCAGCAATGAAGAATCCAAAGCCTCCTCTAGTCTTCCAGCTTTTACCAATGACCACGCCCAATCAGTGAGCAGAAACACTCTTGGTGACTCAGAGGATGACAAATTGAGAGCTTTCCTTCCGCACATGATCTCCAAAACAACAACCCCGAAGCTATAAACATCGCTCTTCTCGGTCAACTGTCCATAAAGAGCATATTCAGGAGCCAAGTAGCCATGAGTCCCAGCCACTCTAGTTGTAAGATGGGACTGGCCTTCCTTGCTCTGCTTCGCAAGTCCGAAATCTGCCACTCTCGCTCTCATATCAGCATCCAGCAGTATATTTGTGGCCTTAATATCTCTGTGGTATATTGCCGGCTTCACTCCGTAATGCAAATATGCCAACCCCTTTGCCACATCCAAGATAACACTCTTCCTCTGAGGCCATGTCAACCTTTGCCTCTCAACTCCACTCCGACCATCTGATGGAGGAAACAAATGATCATCCAGATTCCCATTTGGCATATAATCATAAACCAGATACCTCTGGCTCTCCCTCTCATAATTCTCATCCCCATCAACCACACAACACCCTCTCAGCGGAACAAGGTTCCGGTGCTTCAAATTGCTAATGATCTCAACCTCATTGCAAAACTCTCCATCCCCTTCGAAATCCAACTCTACAATCCTCTTGACCGCGACCACACTCCCATCCGCCAAAACCCCTTTGTAAACTATCCCAAACCCGCCTCTCCCAATGAAATTCTTCTGCGAAAAATTCGCCGTCGCCTTCTCCAGCTCCTCGATCTTAAACCAAATTGAACCCGTATTCGGCCTCACTCTAGGCCTAGTCCCTTGTTGTTGTTCCAGTTCCCCCTCCATACCAAACCCTCCTCCTCCTCTTCTTTTTCCTCTCCACCTCCTATCATACCAAAGATACAACCCCAACAAGCTAAACATTACAAAAACAGCCATCCCAGCTCCAGTTAACCCAAAAACAAGAGGCGCATTGATCTTACTAGTGGACCCCACATGGGAATCCAAAGTCAACCCAAAAATACAAGACACAGCACTATTACTCTCGGGACCAAACTCATTAACAATCCCAGCAGCATAAAGAATAGTGTAATACCAACAATCTCTGGAGTGAGAGCTATTACCGTCAATGGAGGTCAACTCGGCCCGGACCTTCGTCCCGGCCGCCACGCAGCTGTCGCAGTTGGTCCCAATTGTCAGGTCAGACCTACAAGCAGAATCCAACACCGTCGTTTCCCCAAGCTGCCTCACCCAATCCTGAGTGGTCTCGATTCTTGCGCAGGTGTTGTTCGACATGACGAACTGCTGTGGCTCGAAGCAGTAGAAAACAACGTCGTTTGAGAAGGAGAGGCTTTTGGAGAGAGAAAGAGAGGTAAGCGTGGACTGGAAGTCGTTCATGCAGGAGATGGAAGTGGGGGTGTTTGGGAGATTGAATTGGGAAGTCTCCTTCAGGTGCTGGGCCAGAGCTATCCCGAAGAGGGACAAGAGCGTTTGGCAACAGGGGATTTCGGTGTAGTCGAATGTGGAGGTTTTGGTTTTCGGCGGTTGGTAGTTACGGCAAGTCGTTTTGTTCCATGCGATTCTCGATACGTAGTTGAGCTCCGTCGGACATGTCGAACCGTTGGTTGCGTTTGTCGGAGAAGGCGCGGCGGCGGATGAGAGAAAAAGTGGAGAGAGAAGGGAAAGGCGGAGGAGAGAGAGAAGGAGGTCCATGGTCTGGTTTTTTTTTTTTTTTTTTTTTTTTTTTTTTTTTGTTGAGAACTAGGTTTGTGATCTTTTGTTTTGCGTGACTGTAAAAAGATTGCAGTTTGGGTGGATTTGTTTGTTTTAGAGAGAGAGAGAGAGAGAGTAAGAGATGTTGGATTTGGATTGTCTCTCTCGTCTTGAAGTTGCAATCAGGGAGGGAGGGGATCACCCCTATAGTCAAACCACCACCTGCCTCGTTAATGGCGGCTGTACTGGTGTCCAAAGAGGAGGACGCGCCTGGCAAGGGAGGTGGCCCGCACGCGCCGTGTCAAAGGAATAAATTGCAGGCCGCCATTTTTGTCCTGTTGATTTTTTTTTTCCACCCTTTTCTTGTAAATCTGTTCATGTATTTAGAACTTGTTTAATTCTTAGATTAAAATTATGAGATTAGAATTATTTTTAATTTATGTATATTTTTATAAAAAAAATTATTATAATAAATCATGAATCACAATTCAAATCAAAAAACGAATCCTCTCTTAATTTAAGAAATCTCCAAAGATATAATTGAACAATTAGTGCTTTTGGTTTTGTTTGGTTGACTAATGTCGCAATTCTTTCACGCAAGTTTATATTAAATTGTTAAAGGAAAATAATGAGAGAAGTAATTTTTTTTAAAGCATGAGAAAAGTAAAATAAAGTCATGGTTAACTAACTTTTGGTGTTTATTTTATTTATTTATTTATATGATGAATTAAAAAATAAGAGGAAAAATTATTTTGATATTTGATTTTTTTGAAAAAAAAATAACTTTTTGTATCTTTTGTGTGTGTGTGTGTGAGAGTTTTTTTTTTTTTTTTTTTAAGTACTAGTAAAGAGTGTCACGTGCACCTGTGTTTGTAAATTAAATAGTAAATACCATATATAAGTTTAAGTTATATTACGTTCAATTAAAAAAAATATATAGTAGTGACATTAAATGAATATGGAAATAGTCTAAACATGATTTTCTCTCTGACAAATTTCTCTCACTCTCTTTTTATTTGAATTTGATGATTTATCACTCTTTTTTTTTTTTTTTTTTTGGAAATAGTCTAAACATATGGGATCGGGCCTTTCCGTGGTGGGAGCGCTTGTGTTTGTACTCAGGGTCTAAGGTTCGAATTCCGAAAACGACATCTCTTTTAGAGAGTAAGACGGCGTACATATGGGATTGAGATTTCTCTCAAACTTGTCATAGTACGAGAGCCTCTTTGACACTAAAATCCACTTTTTTAGTCTAAACATGATTTTCTCTCTGTCTCTCTTTTTATTTGACTTTGATGATTTATCATTCTATTCTTCACTTGTATTTTTTCTCTTTTTTTTTACAATTTTTTTTTAAAATTTTTTTTACAATTTTTTTTTGTTTGTTTTGTTTATTTTAGCCGAAATTATCTGTCACAACAGCCATCAAGAAGCCCATCTTTCCAAATAAAATTTACATATGAATTATAATTTGTTTTTACTAATTTTAGTCATGGAAAAATAGAAGAATAAAATATTATTTGCTTCTTTTTCATCATTATATATATATATGGTTTGGGCTATCATATAATTTTTTTTAGCTTTCTTTCACTTTCGTTTAGAACGTATTTTCCCAAATATTAAGGGTTTTTTTTTTTTTTTTTGCCTTAAAACGTAAATAAAATAACTATATGAACTTTACTTTGTTCCTATAAATTTTAAACAGATGCAGTATAGAAACATAAGAGATTATGTTACTTATCAATATTATACATCTCTTTCTTTTTCAATTTGCTTGAAATTTTATTTTTATTTTTATTTTTTGAAAACATACTCTTTTCTTCCTCTGTTCAACCATTCCAATTGAGTGACACAAAAGGCCTAAAAGCACAGATGTTCAAAGAGAATAAAAAAAAAAAGAGAAAAATAGATAAAGGTTACAATTACTCTTTTGTGATTTGCCTAATCATGAAATTATTTAGTTTCCAAGATATATATATATATATATATATATATATATATAGAAAACACTATGAAAATCTTCATCTTCATTCTAGTTTCTATAGCTTCCTAAAAAATTGGACAGTAAAAAAAAATAAATGGGACCTATTCTGGTACATAAACATATTAGTGGGTCAGGTTTTTTGTCCGTTAGATTTACATAAAATTAAGTAAAAGTTAAAAAGTATACATATTAAACGGTTAAACAAACTTAACCTACCGGTACACCAGACATACTAAAGAATCTCTCAAAAATAAAAAATAAAAATGTATTAGAAAGAAAAAAAAAAGAGTCTACTATCCCATTACACAATGAACTTCACATCTAATAATTCATCCCGCTTTTCATATACAATAAAAAGCATCTATAATGCAATATCAATTAGTGCGTCAATGTCAAAATTTAGCATTTGAAAAAGGAAAAACGCTGTTCAATGAGATGCTATTCTTGATACTAAATTTAGTATATATGTTGTACCTAATAGTAAATTAACCTCTAAATATAATATATACCGAATTTTAACATTTGTTTGATATTTATTTAGAGAAGTTTTTGTTCATATAGATTTACTCTCGTATATAAGTTTTCAACACTCGATAGTTGTCCACGTTAAACATATTGTCTTGTATGATTTTTTTTGTTGGATCATGTGGTCTTATATAATTTTTGTTTTTACATATGTGTTTACTTCAAGTTGACGTGGTAAAAAGAAATAGGGAGAGAACAAAAAAAATTAAAATTAAAAAAAAAAAGGAAAGAAAAGTGGGTGAAGCTTTTTTCGATTGTGTATCTCCATCGCATCAACCCAACAAAGTGACAAACTCTAATCATTATACACATACTAAAGAAGGGACGGTTTTGTGTTTATATTATAGTGTTATAAATAGTATTTTTCTTGTTTTACCTTTTTGTTTGTGTAATGACCATTTTGCCTTTTGCTGGTTTTTCATTTGATTTATGTTTAATCGGAGGATTTAAATCATTATTTGAATCATGGTTCATGATTCACTACAGTATTTTTTTTTTATAAAAAATACACGTAAATTGAAAATAATTCTAATCATATGATTCTAATCTATGAACCAAATGTCTCCTTAATTTCTACCGTTTTGGTCATTTGCTTCAGACTAAGTGTTATAGGTCCTTTTTTTTGTCTGTTTAGAAAGTTTTTGTCTCATTTTATCTTTCTGTTTGCTGCCTTCTACAACCTTCTACATCTTTTTTTTTTTTTTTTCCTCTTTTCTAGAGCAAATTTTCTTCCTTTCCATCTTCCTTCTCTTTGCGTATATGTTTTTGGGTGTTTTCTATTTTATTATAACTAATAGTGTGGATTAGAACAACCGGATAGGCGGATAAAGGTTTAAAAGGAAAAACTTAAAAAAAATTTAAAAAAAAAAAAACACAAATTTCAAGAAGAAGCAAGGAGGTCAAACGCATCCTCCTTGCCTATCGCCTCTTTTTATATATAGAGATATATATGTCTATGTTAAAATGATACCATCACATTGTTAAGTTTTTTTTTTTTTTTTTTTTTTTCCCTGTGAAGTATCTCAGATTTATTAAAATGAGTCTGTAAAACTAGCTACCACATGGGGGCAGCTTCCCTTAAGTCAAAGTAGCCATGAGAAAATATGACATTATTATCAAGTTATCATTTATAGTTCAAGTAATTTAGGGCTTGTTCTTTTAGAGTATAACTTGAGTATAATTATTGAGTTAAATTTGAGTTATAATTTGAGTTAAACTTGTAACTTGTGTTTGTGTTTGGTTGTGTACATTTAAGTTATGGTTTGAGATAAAAATCTTTTTGAGTTTGTTTGAGTGAGTCAAAACTTGAATTTGTATTTAGATAGTATTTTAATAAAAACTCAATGCTGATGAACAATTTTAATACGGTGTATGGGTCGGGTTTTATTCGTCTTTCGTTGTCAACGCATAGAAAAAAAATCATCTGAATCAGAATTAAAACGAAAAAGTTATAGCATTTTTAAGAATATAAAAAATATTGTTCATTAATTTGAGTTCGAGTTTCTGAACTCGGGTTGAAGGGGAAACTTGAACTCAAGTTTTAGTCCTAAACTCGAGTTTGAACTCGAGTTAAAAATTAAAAGAACATGAACTCGAATAAAGTTGTAACTCGAGTTACTTTTTTTTGAGTTTTTCACTCAAAAGAACAAGCCCTTAGTCTAGCAAAAAGTATAAACTTGCATCATTAAGGCTTGTTCATTTGTACCATAACTCAAAATTTTTTTTTAACTTAAGTTATAAATGTCCCGTTTATTTCACCGATTCAAATTTAGAATTTGAGTTTTACTACAGTAAAAAGTTTTTAAAAATAGTCACATCTAACTTTTTTTTTTACAGTAAAAAGCTCTCGCATAAAGTCACATTTCAACTTGAATTAAAAACTCGAATCAACGAACTAAGGGCCCATTTAGTTCGCTGATTCAAGTTTTTAATTCGACTTTATGTGCGAGCTTTTTTTTATAGGAAAAAAGTTTGTTGTGACTGTTTTTTAGAGCTTTTCACTGTAGTAAAACTTGAATTCTAAACTCGAGTCGGTAAAATAAACGGGCTTAAATGACCCTAAAACTATTTGAAATAAATAACAATTTAATATGTAAATGTTTTATTTGCGATAAGTAAATCTCCCAGCCTAATCCAATACAATAAATTGGTTTAAATAACTACGTGAAAAAATGTTTATGTAGGGACATTTTAAAAAAAATATTATTGTAACATGTACAAATTAGAGTACAATTATTTATAAGAAAATATTACTTGAGAATGTTTTAGGAAAAATATGTCTTAAACATATTTGAGAGAACTTATTCAAGCGGGGCAATCAGGAAAAAAAAAACATATTGGGGCAATTAGGGGGAAAAAAAAAACATAATTGACTTTAGAGGAATATATGAATAAAACAAAAAGAAGGACAAACAAAATGTATGTTTCAATCAAAATGTGCGTGATCGAAACACAGAGGTGCCGACATGCATTTCAATAGCGCCACGTTATAGAAAAAATATTT